TGAGGGTTCCCGGAACACAGCAGAAATTCCTACTTGGCGCGCAGGATGGGGGAGGTGCTGAGGAGTGGTGGGGGGTGTTCCAAGGGGGTGGGAGACGGTCTGGCCCAAGCTGTGCCTTGCCTGGGACTGGTCCTGCCAGCGCAGGGTAGCCGGAAGCTCTCCCACACACTCACTGGACCTGGGCTAGGACTGGGTCTCCCCCCAGGGGACCCTTCTTAAAGTGAAGGACTGTAGCCCAAGGGTGGCCATCTCAGACAAACAAAGCTGTGTGTGCTAGTCAGGGAAACTCAAGCCACATCACCTCTGTGTCTGTTTCTGCTTCTGAGAGTAGGAATAATAGAATTTGTCTCATAAAATATTATACAGTTAAAAGATCTATGTAAAAGTACTTTTACCAGCATCCAGCCCACCAGAACCACTTTATATGAGCTAGTTGCTGTCATGGTTGCCACCTAGAATCCTCTTTAACAATGATTCACATACTGTACTCTCTCTCTATTTAACAGTAGGGCAGCTGATGGTTCTGAGGAAAAAGAGTGACCTTTCTGTATCAGTAAATGACTTTCCTGTATTAGATTCTGTGTTGTGTAATGAATCACCATGAAAGTAAGAAGGGGGGCTGGGGAGATGGCTCAGTAGAATAAGTGCTTGCCTGGGAAGCACAAGAGCCTGAGTTCAATCCCTGGTTCCGCCAAAAAAAAAAAAAAAAAGAAAGAAAGTAGCAGGTTACAACAACATGTATTTACTGTCCCCTGGTTTCCATGGATCGAGGCTCAGCATAGCTGTCCGTTCAGTGTCTATTGAGGCTGCAATCGAAGGGCCAGTTAGGAGTGCAGAATCCTGGAGCTATGGAGACCCTCTCGCAATTCTACCTATCCAAAAAAAACCATGTATCAAATTATTGGCAGGGAGATAATGTGATGACTCATGAGCTTTGTGATGACTCACACAGAGATGAGTGCTGCTGGGGCCTCAGAAGACTGGCAGCTCACTACAGAAATGGCCCAGCATTGTCCAGAATGCATGGAGAACTCCCTGCTGGATTCTCAGAAATAATATTGCACCAATCAATTAGTTGTGTGGATAGAGTAACCCCAGTCTAGTGCTAACCAGTCATGGGGCCATGGTCACAGTCTTTAAAATAGCTTCCCTGGCTGAAGAGATAGCTCAGCAACATAAGCATCTTCCTGGAAAGCACAAGGTCCCTAGTATGACCCCAGCACTTCAAAAAAAAAAAAAAAAAAAAAAGCTTCCCGCAAGTCTTGGCTCTTGGTATTCCTGCCTTTATATAAATGACTCTTGCAATAAATAGGGCTGACTTGTAAGATACTGTAGGATCTGGGCATGGTGGAGAACACTTGTAATCCTAGTACTCTAGGAAGCTGAGGCAAGAGGATCTCAGGTTCTAGCCTAAACTGGGCAACTTAGTGAGACTGTTTGAAAAGTTAAGGTTGGCTAAATAGCTCAGCAGATTAAAGCACCTGCAAGCAGGCACAGGGGCCAGGAGTTCGATCCCCAGGCCTGCCATGCCGTCCCTGTCCCTGGGGCATGCTGAGATGGCAATGGAGACTGGGCGTGGTGGCACATGCCTGTAATCCCAGCTCTTAGGAGGCTGTAAACAAGCAGATCACTACAAGTCCAATCTAGTAGTGAGACCCTGAACACCCTGTAGACCCTTCCCCAAAATACAAAAAAGAAAAGAAAAGAAAAAGAAAGAAAGAAAAGAAAATGTAAAAAATTAAAAAGGCCTAGGGATGTAGCTCAGTGCAAAGGTCCCAGATCCCATCCCTGGTACCATGAGAAGAAAGATACTATTGAAAGAAGAATGTGTGACTTCCGAAACTAAGCCTTAAAAGACATTGCAGTTTCTTTCTTTTTTTTTTTATTTGTGTGTGTGTGTGTGTGGCCAGCTCAGCCCACCGGGGGGGCGGGGCTGGCTGGCATGTGGTGCTGGGGGATTGAACTGTGGTCCCTTTGCTTTGCTAAGCTTGTTCTAAGTAGGTGCTTTAGACCACTGAGCCATCTCACCAGCCCCCGACATTGCAGTTTCTACACGGTTGTTTTGAATCAATGACTCTGGGGCAAGCCAGCTGTGTCACGAGGAGATTAGGCTGTGTGTCTCCTCAAGGAGGAGAAAATCCACAAGGTGCGGAACTGAGGCTTCCTACCGCTAGCGTCAGGTTGCAAGATTCGTGAGTGCACCATCTTGGAAATGGTCCTCCAGCCCAGTCAGGATGCAGATGGCTGCAACCCTGGCCAACATCTGAACCAGAACCTCAGGAGCCCCAGAGCCAGAACTGCCCAGTTAAGCTGCTCCTGAATTAAATATTTTCCCCACATAGTTTCTATGTGGGAAAATAGTTAATGTCACTATAAGCCTTTCAAATTGGGGATAATTTTATCCAGCAATAGATACAGGAGATTTCTGGAACTAATACCTTACCCAAAAAAGTGGAATTGGCAAGGAGGGTGTCATTGGCTGGGCACTTAACTGTGTGCCAGGTTCTGACCTTCCTCCCTGTGGGCGACAGAGCACAAGCTAACAGCTGGCAGAAGATGAAATCTAACACCAATACCTCATCCCATTCTCGGACCAGCCAATGCAGACATTTCTGGGACAGTGTCCAGTCCAGTAGCCACTAGCCACCGTAGATATTGAGCTTAACTAGTGCAGCTAAGGATTTGAATTTTCATTTACTAATTGAAATTTAAATAGCCAGAGTGGTCAGTAGCTACTCCATGGGGCAGTGCTGAGCTACCAGATGGACTGGAGGGCCAGGCTCTAAAAACAACTCGAGTTACATGAGAGAGATCCGCACAAGCCTCAAGGGACTCAGAAAAACAAAAAGTGGAGCAAGGCCTCAGAAGAGAGCTAAGCTAACATACGATCTGAGACCTAATTCACTGCTTAAGAGAGGGGCCGTGGCAGCTGAGCAGCGCCAGGTGAAGAGATCCTCAGCAATTTAACACTGCCAGGTAGTGTAGTTACGAGCAGACTCTGGAGCCTAACTACCCACATTCAAATCTTACCTCTACCATCACAAGCTCCATGGCTTTGGACAAGTAATTTAAGCTCTTAAATACAATTTTCCCACCTGTGCAATTGGCACCTGCTTGCCAAGTTATGATGATTAACAGGTTCCAGTGTAAAGCACCGAGAATGGGCTGCTGGCACGTGAAACGCATGGCTTGAGGGTTACTATGATGACTACCGCCTCCTCTTGGCACCCTTCCCACCGCCCCAGGAAAGCAGTGGGCAATGTGGTGCCAAGGGAAAACCACCAATGCCCCAGGTCCCAGAATTAAGGCTCAACGGCACACCCAAGCTAAGGGCAGGTCCGTAACCCTTAGTAGAAAGTATCGCACTACCCCACAGGCCTGCTGTGGGGATCTGAGAGCTTGCCAATGCTTTGAGGTTTTAGAGCCTGAAACCATAGGCTGAGCGGGTAATGTGAGTGCAACAGGTAGAGGCTGTGGTCTGGCAAAGCTGATGTCTAGGTGTCCGGTCCGAGCAGAACGCAGTTACTGCCATGCAAACTGAATTGTTGCATAGTGATATTTTTCCCCCTAAGAAAAGTGAGGAATCCATATTTTTATGAGAAGCATCTTGATGTCTACAGCTTGCAACCAGCTTAAGGATATTTATTATTAAATAAGGCACTGTCAAAAGAAAATGTTGACGCAAACACACCATGCCATACAGGCCACCAGGGTGCATGTTATGACCTCTTTTTTTTTTTTTTTTTGCAGAACCAGGGATTGAACTCAGACCCTTGCGCTTGCCAGGGAAGCACTTATTCTACTGAGCCATCTCCCGGGCCTGTGAGCTCCCCGCTTCATCCAGGCCTGTGCCTGCCTCCTTACATCTGTTTCTATGTCTGCTATCCTCCTTAGAGAGGTTTTCTCATGTTCCGTTGAGTTCAAGAGGTATAGTGTTCAGAGAGAATGACTTGTTGAAACTTTAAAATGACACAGACAGGCAGTTTTGAATCGCTGTGTGGCAGAGGAGTAGAGCAGTGGGTCTCGCTGCAACTGGCCCATTCACTGCCTGCATGCTTGCACCTCATCGGAATTGGAAATGGCTGGTGGGAAGACCAGGAAGATCTCCGGAAAGACCAAGACAAAGGCGCTTTCCCGCTCCCAGAGGGCCGGCCTGCAGTTCCCGGTGGGCCGCATCCATCGACACCTAAGTGCAGAACGACCAGCCCAGGCTCGTAGGCGCTGCGGCTGCCATGTACAGCGTGGCCATCCTGGAGAACCTCACGGTGGAGGTGCCTGAACTGGCAGGAAATGCATCCAGAGACCTGAAGCTAAAGCTTATTACCCCTCCACACTTGCAGCTTGCCATTCGTGGGGATGAAGAATTGGACTCGCTCATCAAAGATACAACTGCGGGCAGTGGTGTCATCCCATGTATCCACAAATCTCTGACCGGAAGAAAGGACAGCAAAAGACTGTGTAAAGGATGCCTGGATTCCTGATTATCTCAGGATTCTAATACGCTTTAACAGCTGTCCAGTGTTGGTGATTCTAGTAGATAGTATCTCTGTGAAAAACACAATTTGCCCTTTTGTAATTCTATTTGAGCAAGGTGGACGTTTAATTATCTTTCCAACCAACCAAATTTCTGTATTCGAATCTTAACCATATTTGTTACTGTGGCTTCAAAGAAGCTGATTCTGAAGTAGCAGGTTTTGATTGAGTTGACTTTTTAAAAACTGTATTTTGTGATGCAGAAGGTATAGTAACAAACATTTGATTTTGTACTGATATTTCCACTCTAGTGGAAAAGTTCAATAAAGGTCATATCCCACGCCCCCCCAAAAAATAAAATAAAATGACACAGACAGGCCAGGTGTGGTGGTGGTGGTGGTGCATACCTATAATCCCAGCACTCGGGAGCCTGAGGCAGGAGGACTTAAGACCAGCCTGAAATATATTCTGAGACCCTGTCTCAAAAGTAAATAAAATTTTAAAAAATAAGTGACAAAGACAAACACTCTAGAAAGTACCAGATTTTATTATCTCTTTTATAAAAAAAAATCAGTAACAGACAACAGTATAAGAGGTGGCTACAGAAACAGGACTCACTCCAGCAGCCTGTGAAAAGGGGGGCCTGGGCCGGAAGTGAAGCCAGGCAGCTGGGCACATGGGTTGGGTAGGTGTTGAGTGCTCACAGCCACTGGGCTCAGGAGGGGACAGGATTCCCCTCCCCACAGCTAGTGGGTTAGAAGATTCAGCTTACCTCAGCTAAGCCACCTACCCTCTCCTCTCTAAGAGGGGGAGTTCCAGAGAACACAACCCAGCTGGAGCCTCCTCAGTCCCCACCTGGTCCTCTCCCTTGCCCAAAGGTGACAGAGGTCATCCCAGCCAAGCTGAGCTGTAACTTGCTAAGCCATTTAGTTCTCTGTTGCAGTGCATCCCGTAGGTGACACGTTCTCTTCACACCAAGGATGAGCGGCCATGAGCCACACGTGACTGAGCAACTCAGTGCAACTGAGGAACAAGTTTCTAACTTTATATGATCTGAACTGATCTCACTTAAACAGCCATCTGTAGCTACTGTACTGGATAGCACAGCCAGAGCACAAAGAAGGCAAACCCCAGGACAGTGATGGCGAAACTTCTAGAGCTTTCAATGGTAACAACAGACAGCCCAAGGCGGCACGTAGGCCAAAGGTTCACCACCACTGCCCTAGGACCCCAGCTTGGCCCCAAGCAAAAGGCAGAAAGAGGGTTAAAATCACCCACCTTCAACCACTGCTGCCCATCAAAAGGCACCAAGAACTGGGCAGAGAGGAAAAAAAGAGGCCCAAACCTGCGCAGCCACACAGAAATTCACTCACTCAGCCACCCAGCCCTCATGAAACTGGGAACATCATACTATACCCTGAAAAAATATATTTATCTATTTTTCTAGAACCAGGAGATAATAATAATATATTACAAGAACATAGACAAAAATACCCCACCATCCTCTACATTATATCTTGAGAGCTGCTACAAAACTATGTTCTCAGCAAAAACTACTTTCAGATAAATCTGCTTCAGAAAGGGCCAAGGGCATGAGCAGAGGTGTGAAGTATTTTTGAAATGGGAAAGGAGCTTATAGAAAGAGAGCAAAAAAGAAAAGAGAGAGGCCCTATCTGAAGGTATAAAAAAAAAAAAAAATTAATAAAAATCATATCTGTCTCTTCTCTTATTTTCAAGAAACAAAAACAAAACAAAACAAAAATGTTAAATACAAACTTAGCAGGTGCCGTGGAAATGCACGAGAGTTAAGATTAGCTCTGTATCTCCATGCTCGCGCAAAGACGCTCTGCACAAAGGAATGAACCGTTTTAAAAAAAAAAAAAAAAACCAGATTTACAAATAATCTACAGATTCATTTCAGCAATGAGCTTTCAGTACTTCTCCCTCCCCTCCCCAGATACAAAAGGTGGATTTCCAAGTCATTCAAAGCAGCCTAATGGCCCAAGACATGCCAGAGTCCGGTAGTACAACCACAAGGACCTGTGGCTACACATACTACAGGATGCGGAGGTTTGTAGCCCCTTCTCTTGACAGGCTGGGAAGCAGGGAAGAAGGCAGCCAGGGCAGACCTCCTGCAAGGACCCACACTGTCACCCCTTCAGCCCCGGATGAGCCACGCTCAATACAGGCTCTAAGCACACTAGATTCTAAGCTGGAAATTTTTTAAATGACCCAGTCCATGGCTTGCCTTCAGAAAGGCCAAGTTTAACCCCACTGCTGAGTCTGGCAACTTGAGCACAAAGAATCAGAAAACATAGGCAGTACAGTAGAAGATGATGTCACTTCTGACTCTGAAAAGGTGGCCAGAGCTGGAGACTGATAGGTCAGTTATAAGGTGCCCTCCCCCTACTTTAATGCCCACCGTTCACAATCCTTTGGCTTCCCTCCCCACTCAAGTCCAAGCAGTGCCTGTGGGGAAGCTTCATGCGTAGAACTCGTTGGTGGGGGCTTTTTTGTAGATTGGTTTCTTGCCCAAGTCGTAGCTGCCCTCGTCCTTCTTCTTCATGCGGTACACCAGCAGCAGGATCAGGAAAACAGCAAAAAGGATGCCCATCACACCGCCCACAACCAGAGCTGGAGAGGAAGAGAGGGACAGTGAGAAGAGATCACTCAAGACGACCTCGAGCTGCACCCGAGTCCACCCACCAGTCAGCTCTCTTATAGACAGACACCCTCGCTGTCACCTTGCCTGTGCCAGGGAGACAGATGCCTTATGAAAGCATCCTCTGTGACCTCAACGATGACAAGGGAGTCACCAGGCATTATAATTCACTGAAGGCTAGGGGGCTAAGCCACTATGTCAACCCACATCTACCCTGAGTCCAAAGCATAGGCCTTTTTCAAATACCAGACAGACTTCCTGGCAAGAGATCAGCAATGATCCAGGAACAAGAATAATGGCAGGCTGTAGCAACCCCCTGAGACATATCTGCTCTTACAACAGAGAAGACAGAGACACTGTCTAGTCCTGTTTGCTTATGCACCTATCGAGGCTGACGCGTCTGTAGACTGGCTCAGACTTTCCACATGCACAGAGCACAGTGATGCCCATGTATTACGTTATAATGTAGATCTTTCCATGCAGTGATTTCCATTCCCATGTAGACACGGGCTGGTTTCTGTTCCCATCTCTCCCACCTGCTGGCTGCGTGATCTGAGACAAGTTCCTCCTCTCACCCATTGCAGAATGGAACCATGGTACTTTTCTCATTGTTTGTCCTAAAGGCTAAATCCATTAGCCCAGGGCAGCGCATATGCTCAAGACGTGTGAACTGCAAACCTCGTCTCTGTCCCCAGCGCCCCGAAGGCACCTGCACGGGAGTGGGTGCTTAATCAGTGGCATTCACCTGACTCACTGAGGAGTGCTGGGCTGGCGCCAAGCAGAGGTGGGCATCTGTTCTGCCCCCCACACCAGGTGGCCTAGGCGACTCATTCCTGTTTGTGAGGGGCAAGCATGGCTCGCAGAATCCTTTCTGTGGCAGATTGAGGCCCCTAATTCGGTCTTACTCAGACTAAGGAGATTAATTTTCCATCCCTACAATACTACAAATGTAAGCACAGCGTGGGGTGGAGTGGCATACAGAGAAGCTCAAGAAGGTTCTTTCTTGGCTAAAATCCCATAAAAAACAATAAATAAACAAATAAATTACATCCTAAAGGTGCCAGAAATAGCACATGGGATATCTGACGTCAGCCCCTTCCTATTCCCATCACTTCTCCCTCCGACAACCCCACTCTTACGTCACTCCTCAGTCTGTGCTGGGACTCCCCACAGGGCTCTGAAATCTACTATCAGAAGGCACCAAGAACGGGGTCTACAGGCCTGGTGCTTCTGAGTCTAAAAGCCAGGTCACAGCTTCCTGGATTTGTGACTTGGGATGCATTATTTAGACTCCATTTTAGGCTGTTCTAGGTAAGAGGGACCCAAGTCATACGGCATAAGCAAGCATTTCATGACACTCACAGGTGCTAAAAATGTACCTTCTCCTAAAGGTTTTGTACTGACATCACTCTCAGACAGAAAAGCCACACACGCAGTGTATGGTGGTGACTGCAGGTGTGCGCCACCACGCCTGGCAACTTCCTAGTTTTACAGGCTGTAGCTGGGCTGGATGAGTGCACACCCTGGCGTACTGGGTGGCTTCTGACTCCTGGGACCCTCGCTAAGGCATCAGCGCTGAGGGCGCCTCAGGTAGGGGGAAGGAGCCCTATGCCATGTTACTGTTCCTGCTGCCATCTAGGTCAGGCAGAGAACGGCACCTGCATCTTGCCAATGAGCTGCCCTTGGAGTAGAGCCCCAGGTGACTGGGCCCGGCTAAGCCCTGACTTCGGCCTCCTGGTACCTAAGCCAATGTTTTTTATTTATTTATTTTTTAAAGTTTCCCTTTGGGGGGCCGGGGAAATGGCTCAATGGAATAAGCACTTCCCTGGCAAGCACAAGGGCCTGAGTTCAATCCCCAGTTCCACAAAAAAATAAAAATAAAAATAAAATAAAATAAAAAATTTTAAAAAAAGTTTCTCTTTGGGGTGGGGCAGATAGCTCAACGGACTGAAGAGCCTGCTTAGGCAGAGCAAAGTAGTCAGGGTTCAATCCCCAGAGTACCATCCTGAGATTGATTGAGACTAGGTGTAATGGCCCGCACCTATAATCCCAGTGCTTGGGAGGCTGAAAACAGGAGAATTACTACAAGTCCAATCTATGTAGTGAGACCCTGTATACCCCGCAGTAAATACATAAAAAAAAAGTTTCCCTTCACCACTTTGTTAGTGGGTAGAGGGGGATGGACCATCAGAACAGGAGCCCATCGAGACCATTTGGGCTTCGAGGTTGCACAGTGTTTATGAGGAAGTATTCTGGAACCTGACCACCCTCCCCCGTCTCTTGTCAACCACACAGTTTTGCTCTCAGCTGGTGGAGTGCAGATCCGCCAGCGGCAGATGTTATCTTAACCACATCAGATCTGTTCACTAGGTTTTGCTTTAGCACCAAGGGTTCTTCTACTTCTAAGGAAAAATTTAAAAATCACTGATCTAATCTGAGCTGCTATCTCTAATACATGAGGAGACTAAGGGCCAGGCTTTGGATCTCTCAGCAAGAGAAGAACTAATGCAAGGTTAACCCTTTGTTCTTTCTTGGTTTATCTATATTTATTTATTTATTTACTTATTTATTTATTTATTTTGTGGTGCCGGGGTTTGAACCCAGGACCTTTTCATTTATGCACATCTCTATCCCTTTTATTGTGTGTGTGTGTGTGTGTGTGTGTGTGTGTGTCTTTTTCAGACAGGGTCTCACTCACTATGCAATTCAGGCTGGTCTTCAGCTCATTTTGTAGCCCAGGCTGGTCTCAAACTCAAGCTGATCCTCCTGCCTCAGCCTTAGGAGTGCTGGGATTATAGGCCTGTGCCACCATTCCCAGCTTATAACCTTTCATTTTGAGGCAACAAGTTCGAGGCCACCCTGGGCTACATAGTGAGTTCAAGGCCAGCCTGAACTACATAGTGAGACCCATATAAAAAAAAAAAAAAAAAAAAATGCAAAGCCCCCGGCAAAAACCTTACTACTAGGGGGCTGGAGAGATGGCTCAGTGGTCTAAAGCACCTACTTGAAACAAGCTTGGCAAAGCACAGGGACCGCGGTTCGATCCCCCAGCACCACATGCCAGCCAGCCCCGCCCCCTGGTGGGCTGAGCTGGCCACACACACACACAATAAATAAATGTAATAAATAAAAATAAATAAATAATAAAAAAGAAAGATTAAAAAAAACAACAAAAAAAAACCTTACTACTATAACCTTCCAAAATGTAGGGAGCCCATTTCTTCCTCTGACAACCAGCTTTGGAGACCACACCTACACCTCAGGCTGCAGAGGGATTTGGGGATATACCCCAGCTGACAATGCCCCAGCCAGGATTGATACAGTCACTCCCAAACCCTCACTCTGGGACAGCATTTACCTCACATCACCAGCACATTAGTCAAAAGCTCTTACCTGAAACCAAATATTTAGCTTCCCTGGGCCCTACTGCCCTATTCTGTCCCAAGAACATACCCTATGGCCCACCTACTTCAGGACAGTAAAGATTCAGTAACAGAAAATCCTAACAAACAGAAAGGCTCTTTAAAGTTTGCAAAGTACTTTCATATTCATGGACCCCTTACACCAACTCAAGAAGGTGTCAGTGTACCCATTTTACAGGTGAGAAAACTGAGCCACGTGTTCTAAAAGACTTCTCAGCCCAAGGTCACAGGACTGCCAAGCAACAGAGAAGAGTGGAGGGAAGCCAACCTAATTCTAAGAGGACTCTAGGCTTTTAAGTGAAATTAATGTTTAATGATTAACTCCCAGATAACAAAGCCAGGCTGTGGAAGTACTTTAGCTGAGAGAAGTTTAAGGCAGGGGAATAACTAACCTACTGTCTATACTTCAAAAGCCTTTGATGTGCAGTTCTTCTTCCCTCTCCACTCGGCTGCTAGTAGTTGAGTCACTCCTTAAGGGAACATAGTTTTTCACTGCCCCAGAGCGCTGAAGATGCCCTGACCCCAGGCTCTGTTCTTCCTTAGGGCCTGTCCACAGGTCTTACCTGCTAGGACCTCGGTTCTTTCAAAGATGTTGCTGTCCTGGGCAGTGCTGGACATGGACACTTTGTTGGACACATCGTTCTCCCCTTCAATAGGCAAGTCCTCCTGGGGCATGATTTCGTTGTCCTCTGGCTCTTTGGGTTCAGTGGGGACCCGACTCCCAGGCCCCACCCTCTCAGGGATGTAGTTATCCAGAGGTATCTGAGTGGGGGAAAGCAGAAGAGACAAACACAGAATAAGTTTTCTGATGGACAATGGATGCATGGCAGAGGATGTGACTCTCAAAAGAATCTGGACTAAACCACAGGATCCTGGACAAGGAACCAAGAACAACTTCTAACAGCTATGCTACTAAATCCTTTTCCTAACTTTTTCAGCGTATCTGTCCCAAATAGGAAATGAACCTGATCAAAGGCACAGGGAGGTGGGTGTTCCCACATACTTTTTGCAGGCAGATATTCTACAGTAACCCCTCCAGAGGCAATGGGGCAAAAACCTTAGAGACTGTTGTACTTTGAGGCATGAAGTTTGCCTCTGGGACTCTATCCTACAGAGCTAAACCCGAGTCAAAGAAAACACTTGGCCACAGTACAATAATGTTAGAAGGATAGCAAGAAATTATAAAAAAACTTTTCCATCAATAAGAAGAACAATCAAGTGAACAATTACACATCCGATAAAAATGACAGGGACATTTAACTACACAGGGAAGAACTCAGGACCACTGTTAGTGGAAGATGCAGGATGTGGAATTGTACACAACTGGAGATCAACACATAGAAAAGGAGCTGGTGTTGGCAGTGATCATCCTAACCACAGGTGTGTCTGTCCTAAATTGAACTGAGGGACCCACATACAAAGGTTTCTAGAACATTCTTCACTTATTTATTCTGCCCCTAGGAGCTGTATTTCTGTCTGTCTCCTCAAGTGTGTATTACAGAGAGCAAGGGATAACGGGGGACCCATGCCATACTTACCAAGGGTTGTCCCATTTCAAGGGTGGTCTTGGAATCCCCCAAATCATCTGTAAATCAGAATGGCTGTGTGAGCATGAGGTTCATGAACCCCAGCAACCAATGCCTTCAGCAATGGCTGGTGGGAGGCCTCCCTTATAACCAGTCCCTAAACGCTCCATGTCCAGCAAATACACACTCCCACCTCCACCCTGGTCACCTAGTTTGAAAAAATGGGGCTCCTGACACCTGCCTCCCTGACTTTCACAGTGACATATGCACCAGTTGCTAGATAGCTGCTGTGTCACTCCAGACCCTGGTTAATTGTGAATCTCGGGACCAACAACAACATCTGCGAGCTGGCCAGAAATGCTGAATTTCAGGGTAGACTGAACCAGAATCTATATTTAAGTATGATCAGAGAATTAAAGTTTGAGAAGGAAGACTCTACAATATGAAATACTACATATTAAGGCTTTACTGTAGCCAGGAGAGGTGGCACATACCTCCAATCCCAGCTACCTGGAAGGCTGAGACAGAAGAATCACAGATTTGAGGTTAGCCTGAGCAACTTACTGAAAGTCTGCTCAAAATAAAAAAAAGAACAAGGCTAGGGAGCCAGCATTATGGTGCATAACTGTAAACCCAGCACTCAGGAGGCTGAGCCGGAGGATCACGAGGACTTTGAGGCCAACCCCAACCTAAACTGCACAGCAAGACCCTGTCTCAAAAAACAACAACAAAAAAAAACAAACAAAAAAAAAACCCACATAAACAAAAAAGCCCTAAGTATACACAATAAAGCTTATTTTTAAAACACACATAGTTACTGAGTGCTTGATATTTTCCAAGAGCCTTAACTCAAGTCAGTCTCACAACACTGATATATAGTTGTTATTACTTCCATTAAACAAAGCTCAGAGGTGACAGAGTCAAGACCTGAACTCATGACCTTTTTTTTGGGTTATGTGAGACAAGGTCTCTACGTAGTTCAAGCCAGCCTTGAGTTCAAGGTGATCCTCCTGCCTCAGCCTCCCAGAGTACTTCAATTACAGGCATACACCCCCCACCCCATGCAGCAACATGACTATTTTTGTTCTGTATTTAATTCAGGAGAATGGGCTTTCGAAGCTCAAACAGAATCATTAACAGGTCTCTAAGAAGAGGAGGGAGACCGCAGTAGCTGTCTGACCTTGAGGCCAGGGCCAGGTAGTTGAAGACCATACAAGGCGGCGGCCTCTGGTCTGGCTTCAGTCCCTTCACCTGTTCCTAACCCCACTGAAGCAGGGCCCCCAATGTCACACCTCTGCCTACACATGCCGCTCCCAGCCTTCCCTGCTGCTGAGGCAGAGCTTTTCCATGGGTCCTTCCTCCCCACCCCACCCCACCTCACCCCCACCCTTCCCTCCACCAAAGGGAGGAGCCTATGAGGACAAGTTCAGGCTGGTACTAGAAAATCCAGAGCTACAGTGAACACAAAGCAACACACCACTGGCTCCTGGCAGTCTCCAGGATAGAAATGGTCAATCCAGCTACCTTTGTTTCCTCTTTTGAGGACCAGGAAGGGTGCTGTAGGGAAATTTCCCCCAAACCCACGTCCTCAGAATGGTCACCCTCCTTATTGGTGGGGAAACTACCCCTCCAGCCCACGTCGCTGGCTTCTCAGCAAGTCCTCCATACCCAGATCTCCAGAGCCCGACAGCTCAAAGTCGTCAGGTTCCTGCCCTGGCCCTCCAATATCTTCATCGTCAGGCAGAGCTCCAGAGTACCGGCCTTCTAGGAGATCACGGGGGTCGATGACCTCAGTCTCTCGGATCTAGGATAAAGGAAGGAAAAGAATCAGCCAAAATAGCCCGCAACTGCTCCAGGAGAGCAAAGCCCCAAACCACAGAAGCAGACTTTCAGGGGCCAGTGAGGGACCAGGCCAGGCTCTGATGACTTGTGTCCTGGATTCTACTCTGCCCCTGTCTTGCTGTGTGACCTTAGGAGTGTCTCTTTTCTATCCTGTGTTGAAAAAATTAAGCAAAGTATTAATATTATTAGGTACCATTTACATCAACACTTGCTATTTGACAAACCCTGTTTTGAATAACTCTTGACAATACAGTAACTTATTTTACAATGAAGGAACTTGGGCTTCAAAGACTTTAAATCATTTTCTTTGGTGACACAGCTAGCAGGAGGACAGTACATAGGGCTGCCTGGCCTCAGAGCCGGTGGTTCCCAGGCAAGGAGGCAGCCCGGGGACACTGTCCCCCAGGGTTCTGTGATGCAGCAGCAGCTGATGCACACATGGTAGGGACTGGACGACTGTCTCTGGTCTCACCCAGTCTTGGACACCTTTCCCAGCTGAGTCAGACTGGGCTGGGCAGGCTCGCTCCCACCCCAAGACAGCCTCCGGTCATGGAACCGCTCCGACCTGGTGACTCAGGAGCACACTTCTGCAGTCTTAGCTTTCAAGCATCTCCTACAGACGTGTCCTGCTGCTAGCTTGATAGAGAACACAGGGAGGCACAGTCCCTTCCCTCACATACGATCCACTCCGCTACCCCTAACAGTCACTCAGGTTCCACTTAATGGAAACCCAGCATGGCAGCCTGAGCTGCCAAGCAACTTTCAAAAGTAAACTGTCCAAGGTCCAAGGAGACCAAGAACTTTCCCAGGACCCTGCAGAGTGCCAGGGACCATCTCTGGGACCATTTCCTAGCCCAGGCAAATGGGAAACGAAGCTTCCCCAGGAGTGCAGGAAGCATCAGGATGCCCACCACGCTTCCTCTAGCTCCCAGCCTTGGGCTTCCATCCGCCTACCCAACAACAATGCATGAAGCTCATTATTTCATTCTCATATCTAGACAGCACCATCTCTAGATCCCAGAACTGCAAGAGGCAGGGTCTACTGAGAAGCATGGAACATAAGTTAGAGACTTCAGGGTGTTCTTGTCCTCCCCTTCACAGAATTTGGGATTTAAACAATTAGCAAATTACCTAAGGTCACAGAGTGTTAGCTACATACAGACCAGAGTTCCTATTCTGATTGCCCTGAGCTATCTTTCACCTAGGGAGAGATAGCAAATGACACAGCAGGGATTCCAAGAAGGACCATCCCTCCTGAAGTCCAGGAAAGTTGCATCAGAAACCAGGTTCTTCCTGAACTCTCCCCTCTGGCTTCCGGGGAGAGGGGGTGGAACCAGGCCCTGCCCACTTCCACCCCCACAGAGTGGATGCTGGATACCCTATGATGCTGGGAAGGCAAAAGGGTCAGGCAAGAGAGGGAGGGGAGGCAGAGGGTAGGGATCCCATCTCCTGGGGAGGGGGAATCTTTGCTGAGCACCTGGCACACAAGTGGGTGGAGAGCCAGAAGGGGTTAAGCCCTGGTTAGAGATGACTTCATGACTCTGGAATCAGGAGCTGTTTGTTGAGCTGTTGGCGCTGGAATTCCAGTCCCCCGCACACAGCCTGTGCCTGTGGCTTTGGTTTGGCAGTGCAGGGAGAAGGCTCCTCTGCAGTTACGAAAGTGCCCGTACCTAGGGAGGGGTCCTTGTGCTCCTTCCCCAGCCTCCTGTCACAAATTCCCCTGGACAGCGAAATCTTAAACAGCAAGGCCCCTATAGCCTACTCAGTGTCAGGCCTTAACTTGGCGTGACATAGGTCCTCTTAAGAAACGCTTTTTACAGAGGTGGACACGAGGGTTCAGAAAGGCAGTTACTTGTCTAAAGGCCACATGGGCAAAAAGTGGCCACGCTGGGCCAGAATCCAGGCATGAACCACTTGGATTTTCCCTGCACATGCATAAGCACCTACGTGAACATGTGTGTGCCTTTGGTTGCCAACCTACCCCAGGGTAGAGAGGAGCCTTGGTAAAATGTACACAACCTATGTAGCCACAAGATAAAAGATATTTGCGTCATTTGTTGACCTGACTAGAAAACCAGAGTGGTTGTGGATGTCAGAGTTCAAAATCCTCAGGCAGAGGCTGAAGTTCTGCCGAGAGCCAGGGGACAACAGAAGCTGTGGGATTCTAACATAGGTGTCCCAGCTGGCAACCTTTCAAACTGCCCTGCCCCCTCCCCAGGAGCCATGGAATGTTGTTTATGAGGCCAACTTGCTTTTTAGTAGGTGAAAGTGCTATGGAGTGTTTCAAAACAGCCCACGGGATTAGCACGAGATCCCGATCCAGTGCTAGCAGTCATCTCCATTTTATATTAGAGAAATGAAGACCAAGAGAGGAGGGGTTGGAAGATCTGGTAGGCGGGGCAGCAGCAAAACTGAAGAGAAAGCCCTAAGATTATTGCCATTCAGCCCCCTCTGGGGGCTCCTGATCAGCCCTCGCTCCTCATTTTCCCACACCAGGTCTCAGTGGAGCTAAACACTTAGTACAGGGTTACACAGGGAGTCAGTGTGGCCCAACACCAGCAGATCCTTGTTCCAGAGCTCCACAAGGGAAGAAGGGTGAGTGCAGAAGGCTTCTCTCCTACAGGGAGGGCACAGCGCTGCAGGCAGGTCATCAGGATCCCAATCCTCCGTGAGCTCCAGTGGCACCCTCTCTGACCCATTCTGGCCCCTACTCTGCCCATGGCCTCTGACAAGAGGGAAACTTCTAAGTGAGCAAGGGTCATGGAGAACGAGGCTGGCAAGACAGGGCCAAGTCCCATGGGATTGTGGGCTTTTTTTTTTTTCCTTTTTAATAGGGATTGGGAAAACACCAACAGCCTTCCCTTCCCCCTCCTTTTCAGACGAGGTCTATTCAGTGTGGGGTGGCTTTGAAAAGCTGGGCCACCCAGCAGCCAAGCCCAGCCCTGACCAGAGAGGAACCTCACCCTGCTCCTGGCTAAGCATGTGGTCGGTTCTCCTTAGCTCACCCCATCCCTGCCCAGTCACGTGTGTGTCCACATGTGTGTACATGCACAGGAACGTGTGTACATGCACAGGAACGCTCTCTGGGCCCCTGGGTCTCCCTGTACTTTTGTGTCCTTCATAGTCACAAAGCAGAAATCACCAGCTGAGTAAGGCAGTGGGCCTGGGCCCCAGAGCCCCTGCCTGTCCTGTGGCTGGTGGGTCCCCTGATCAATGCCTGGGGGAGATTAGAAGTAGATTCTTTCCCAAACTATGCAGGAGAAAGAAGATAGGGTAGATGTGCTTTTGCTTTATAGGGACAAACACCTGCTAACAAAAGGATCTGCAGCCAGTGAGCCCAACCAGCTTCAAAGGATACTGCCAAGGTCATCCAAGCAGCTGGCAGCACACCCAGACTGAGAAGCTGTGTCCTTTCATTCCCAGCCTGGAGGCCAAGAGTCTTGGCTAAGGGTTCTCAGGAAATCCATGGACAGCAGATACAGCATAAAGTTAGGTAAAGCGCACCAACCCTACCCCCAAAGTCCTACAGCTTTTGTTACTCTAGAAAAAGCACAGAAGCTGGATGGGTGACAAATGGGGGTATGCACTGAATGCCAGGCAGCCTGGTGGACTGTCTCTATATGCGAGCTCATTTAATTGGCCCAACAGCATTGTAAGGTGTGCAACCATTTTGCAAATGAAAAAACTGCACTGAGTCATTCATCCAAAGCCATACAGAACTGGGATTCAAACCTAGGACTTTCTCAAGACTGTGTCCTAACCACAACCCGACTTCACTACTCTTCACCTCTCCACCCTAACCCAACAGCCCACAACACACTGCCCAAGCCAGGGCTCCAAGCCATTCCTTCCCCAGCTAGGAGTAAACAAAGGTGAAAGTGATATTGCTTAAACAAAGAAACAGAAACTTGGCTGGAGTACCAGGGAGGAGTTCAGGGTCAAGGCTTGGTTAACTGTGAACGAATGAGAGCTTCCCCACCCCCACCCCCACCCCAGGGAAGGCAAGGTTGGGGCCCTGCTCCAGCCTTCTTTCAGAAAGCAAGAACAGAAGGGCCATAATGGAGCAAGCCAATGGGGGTAGGGTTGGGGATAAGTACACTTGGGCTCCAACTGCTGTACCCACCAGATTCCAGCAGTAGATTCGTGGGAGGGTGTACAGTACACACCTCCACCCTCAGCGCCATCCCAAAGGGCCTCACAGAATGGGCAAGATCCAGAAGCAAAACACAGTCCTGCCCCTTCCTAACTACATGAGCATAAGAGTTATTACTGCTCTTAAAGTCTCAGTTTCCGCTTTTATACCAGGGCCATTCACACCTTGCAAAGGGATGAGAACTGAAGGAAGTCGGGCTATGTGTAGAGGGATTCAGCAGGTGGCCTGGTACAGAGCAGGTGCTCAGTGAGTCCTGACTATTATTAACCCCCACCTGCCTTTCTTCTGCTTACAGGGATTACTGCTCAGAGGGTCAAGAAAGAAAGTCGTGTTAGCTACACAGAAGCAGCTGTAGAAGCAGTTCCAGTGCTGGAGGGAAGCTAGTCAGCAGATGAGGAAGTAATTTGTAAGAGACATAACCCATGAGTTATGAGCTTGCTTCTGAGACCAGAAACTTTCAAAAACCAATTAGGTCCCTTCAGATGATACAAAAGAAAAAGACACCGAGAGAGATAGAGACCTACCCAAAGTTACACAGCTTTTAGCACCTGTCCTAAGCAAATGGAGAAAATCTGTTGTTTTCCAGAAGGAGCAGATGGCACTGACCACAGACATCTGAAATTCTACCAGGGGGAACCTGGATCCACAAAGTACTTCCTGACTTGCATAGGGACAATAAATATCTAGAAGGCAAAAAGAAATCACACGTTTATCCAGAATGGTGTTCTGGTACCTGAAGGGTTAAGCCAGGACACCAGGGCTGGGGCTGGGGGTGGAGTGTGGGTTCAAATGTCGGCTCTGCCCACTCC